CTCTACGTGCGGTGCATAATGTGTTTACGCGAATCCAAAAGACGCGACAACCGCAGTATTAGTACCCAAAAACAGCCATGTTTACGACCAACGAAAGATTCTCGGCGAACTTTCGGGACATATCTTCAGGGAGAGGTAAGACTTTAGAGAGGCCAAGTATTCTGCTCGCGTGGGCAAGTACGGGAAGTGCCGCTCCGAAAATCCAGGGTCCCATCCATCATCGGCATGACAAATAGATCCGCTGCAACTCGCGGATGAGGAAAATACAAAAAGCTGGAGAGAAAAATCAAGAGAGGGGCAGAAATAGCGCGGATCTTTTGGAATTATAATAATAATAATAATAATAATAACAATAATGACTAGAATGGACAGACGGCTCCGGCTGGCGTAGGCGCGACGACGGGCCACTCGGGGTTAATTATAGGGACACCCCGTGCCGAGTCGCGGAATGCGTAGCTGCGTGTTTGGAGACACAACACGCGTGCTGGGGTCTATAAGCTTTTTAGGCGTTTTACAAAAATTTAAAGCATGCGCTCGCGTTTTTTTTCCCCTCCTCGACTCTGACAGTGACGGTGTTTTCCCAACACTTTTTTATACGTATCGTTATGGAAGCACCGGGTTATTAATAGCTCCACCCTCGCTTACGTACGAACGTAAGGTACAATCTACCGAGTGATCGATGGTAAGCTCGATTATGGTAATGGAAAAACACTAACGTGATTGATCCTTTCACCGCTGATGGAAATCTATTTCCTGCTAGTCACATTTCCTTAAATAACAAATGTATACAGAAACAAAACCATTATTCGATGGCTTGTCTGTCCCCCAATGAGCAAAACACAGGGGACCTGTTGCCTATCAAGTATTTACACGTGTCGGTTCCCCAGTTACGAGTAACGCGCGATAATTGTTCCAGAATTTCGCATAATTGCCAATTTGGCTGTAGCCCGCGTGAATTGGCATGGCTCTCTCTAATAAGGCACTTGGGCCATCAATCATGTCGTGTTACCGTTGAGCCTCTAATTCGCCGGCGTTTATTTTCATAATAATAGTCACGGAACTGTGTATGTACAATCAATACAGCCTTTTTTCCTCAGTTTTTTTACGCCCCGTATGCTGAAAAAGTGAAATACAGTCCGTAGCATAGATGTTACGCTATAGCAATAAAACGGGAACTTGAAACAGGAAGTCCCGCGTGGCTCACTTTTGCACAGGTATAACGGGCGCCCCTGCCGTGAAAACGGGTGTAAAACAAAACTGCTATCCATGGAGTTCATTGATTATTAGCACCGGTACCAAACACTGGCAAGCTGTACAACAACATTGCTCGTATTCCTCTTTTCGATGAGTAAAAAAAAAGACTCAACAAAATGTTTACATCACGAGTGGAACAATCAACCAAATTATATTTTCGATCGATAAATGTGAGGTAGGTTTAATGCAGAGTCACTGGGAGTATAGCAGTGGGTCGACCCTCTCTTACTTACATTCCAGCATTTTGTTCATACTCGTCTGACTTTTATTCTTCTTTTCGGTCGTACCCTGTTTCCCTTTTTTCGCGAAGCAAAATAGCAGTCAATCAGTATACGAGCATCATCAATTAATTTAGTTTCCTTTTTTTTTTTTATTAAAACCTGTCATGATTTTAACCCAGTGGGAAACCCCTGTACCCATACTTGCACTTGAGGTGATTTATACAGGGACGATGCCAGCGACCATTACCTACCGATGGTCTCGTGAGAGTAGGTTTTATCGGAAGGAAAGTCAGCTGAGGATTATTTCGACATACGAGGCTTAGCGTTGAATGTATAATAACGCATCAGGGCGAGATTAATAATTAATTGCTCTGAAAATTTGGCAGGATGTATCCACCTGTGTTATTAATGTTTCTTTGCTGCCCATGAGGAGATAAAATTGTCAAGTATATAAATGATTGGTTGAAAGTAGTTTTACTTCGTTGTTTGCTTTTTCAAAGAGGATCGTGGTGTTTATTTATATGTTCATTTATACTGAAAAAAATTCAAGTGAATCGTTGTGACAGTGCATCAATGAAAAATAAGTAGAATGGATCCCTTTGTGGTAAGACAGATCAGTAATGAGATTTGTATTTATTTTTCGTGAGGTTTTTTACTTTTAAACAACTATATTGGATTTGTTTATTTTTAAGTTGCAAACAAACAAGCTCAAAATCAGTTGCGATGTATCTGCATAGTATTAGTAGAACACATCCGTACATGGTAAGACATACATGGTACGCATCATTTGGACAAAATTGTAATAATTTGTTCTTTTAAAATTTATTAGTTTTCAAGGAAACTGTGTTATTCACTGTTGTATTTCTTATTTCAAACAATAAAAAAAAGAAAAAAAAAATACCAAAGTATTCACGCAATAAGTAGAGTATGTCCGTTTGTGGTGAGGCACAAATAAACATGATTAAATTAATGATGCTTCTCTATAAATGGATCCTTCTTTGAGATTGTTTTGATATTTTTTTCTTTGTTCATCTCTCAAAAAGATATATTAAGATAATTGTGGAGAATAATGACAATGTATCGCAGAAAAATAAGTAGAATACGCCTGCTTTTGGTAAGACACATAAATTAATAAGATAAAGCCAAAGTCCTTTTTTTTTAGATTTATGTGCTTTTGGAAATGTTCCTCTGTTATTTAAAATTCGCATTGTAAAAGGAAAAAAATTGAAAGTAAAAGTAGCTCAACTGCGAGAAATAAGTAGGTTATGATCTATTATGGTAGGATGCGAAAAATATTGTCAAGTTTGAATGATTTAAATAAAAAATTACTTTTAAAAAACTGAAACATTTATCTTTTTAAAAAATATACTCAGCTTGGTTGTTAAAAAGTAAAATAAACAGTATACAGTACCGTATCTGCGTAAAAAAAGTAAAACAAGTCTTTGCATGGTAAGACATATTTTAATACACTCATTTATATTCTTTTATGTTAATATGTTCTGATTTTAATCATTTCTATACTTTAGATTAATGTATGACTATATTTTTCAAACAAACTTAATTATGAAGTAACAACAGAGTGTCTGTATCTTGTAAGTAGAATAAACTTGTACATGGTAAGACACTCGTTGATAAGATGAAATACTTATTTCTCGTAAACTATATTTACTTGCAGGAAAACAATGCTGTTTATTTTATTTAATAATGTGATGTATATGATTTATAGAGTCATAGAGTTGATAATTGAGTACAGTATACTCACAAAAGTCAATTAAGTAGAATAGACCAGTCAATGATAAGACACGTAAAAACACATTGGATTGCGTGATATTTTATTTGCGTTAGAACTACATATCTTTATTTGAGATTTGTAATATAATAAATTATAGCCCCTAAATATATAAGATAAGTAGAACATGTCCATGTTTAGTAAGACGCATATTATTACGACGTGTCATACATTTTCCTTAAATTTCTTACGTACCGTACATTTTTCATTTTTTGCTAACAATGTGTAATTAATCTCTGTCTAATTAATATTCTGATGTTAGAAGAAAACAAGTAATTGTCTACAAAAAACAACCATTAGAATGAAAAATTTACAAATAAAAAGCTCGCCTGGAGCTCTTCAAGAGAACCATCATTAATTTTTTCCCAACGAAACTGATAAAAAATACGAAAAGCTCTGAGATGCTTCTACCTTTCTGAAGCGGATAAAAAAACAAAAACAAAATTACAAACAAAGAAAGCAAGAAAGCGTCGCACCTCGCCAATCCATCAATTAAGACGACCTTCCTCACCACTCCACTCGTTGACCAATGTTGGTGCTTGGCAACCGTGCCAAATTACGTATTCGACACGGTCACGACTTAAAAATTCTGGCACCACCTTCCTTCTCTCCTTACCGTCCTTATACGCCCTTCATTACGTTTAATCGCAACCCGTTTTCACTGATTAGCCAACAAGAATCACATTTTTTCTGGCTTATCGGCCCATAAAATTTGAACCGTCCCTTTTACAACTACGTGACATTGAAATTTCTGCCAAGGTACAAATACCCACTGTAGCACGTTGTGCGATGCTGATGTTTTCTTGAAAGTTACGGGAGATAAATGTTTACATGGATTGACGGAAGTACGGCTGATGGTAACATATAAAGCGTTTGGTTATAAATTCCGCTCATGTGTTTGTGTTGCTTACATGATGGACAGCAAACCCACGTTTATGCTACTCCTTTCATCGACTGCCGAAATGACAGTTTCAAAAATTTTCCCAAGGCCAAAGTAGTTTATTTATATTATTCGTTACGTCACAATGTTCCCAGTGACCGTTGATATTAGGTTGAGCTGTCTCACTGGTAAGGAACAGCGTTGCAGTTTGTTTTGCGAGCAGAGCGCAAAATGCAGCTGTAAATTCGCAATTTGACGAATATTGCGACAGCGTGGACGACAACACCGCTAGTCGCGTGGAAAGCAGCAGTATCGTGGACTGGAAATAGCCTTTTGTCGGCCCCGCACTCGTCCCACCACCACTGCTACATTCTTGGTTGGGAAATTCGGGAGATATTGCATTCGAGGAGATAACCGTGTACTCTTATTTACGTCCTGGCCAGAAAGATAATAAACACGAGAAAAATGCACCGAACAATCCGAGTTTTTCCGCGTTGGTGGGTACTAACGTAGAAACGTTCGCTATCAGTGCTGTATGCGGACGCTTCGGAGAAACGACACTGTCATCGAAATGGAAAAACTTTTCATACCAGCGGAGGTGGAAAGGACGCCAGGCTTTTTGAAAAACCGTGGACGATTCATGCGAGTGTCCTTTTTTCCAATCCCGAAATTTCAGAGCAGCTTTTATTAAACCCGTTCGCAACTTCTGTGGGTTTGAGAAAGAAAAAAAAAAAAAATTAAAAAATCAAAACAGCCGAAAGCTCGGACGTGCAGTGATGAAAAAAAAAAAAAAACCAACGCATGGATAGAAGGGGACGCGCGAAAGCGTTATAGCAAGTTTCACACGGCGTATAGCCGTTCTCTCCGAAACTATCCACTAACAAGAAGCGCGCGCGAGACTCCCCTTCCTCCGCGCTTTCTCGAAATCCGAGCAGCGTGATCTCTTCCTCTTCTGGCTTCTCTACTGTGAATTTTTCTACCACATGTGACTTCAAGCTGCTTGCTGTCTCGTGTTTCTATTTTTTTTTTTTTTTTCCTTCTATTCTTCGAGACGACAAGAAATAAAGGGGTTGAGTGCGAGAAGAGAGTCTCCGGGGCAATATTATAGCCGGCACCACGGAGTGGGAGGAGGGAGCAACAGTGTTTCTCTCGCTCGTTCTTGCGAAAAGCGAGGGAGTCCGTTGCGACTGGCGCCTCTTCGCTGGAGGTTATAAAAGTTATCTCACCCAGAGACCGGCGCGTTAGTGCGCAAGTGGTGTGCGTTAAGAGAGAATAAGCCAGCGGTTTACGGTGCACGCTAGGTATACTCGGTGCGGGAGCTGGGCCAAGTAGACACAAGCAGGCGATATGGTTAGTTCACGATACCTGTTTGGAGTGTTTTTTTTTTTTCTTTTTTCCTTGCACGTGCAGTGGATCGCAAGTGAAATCAATTACTTGCTCTTCATCAATGATTAGTACACGTTTTATTCAAGAGTTTTTTGAACGATTTCACGACGGATGTGGTGTTGTTATCCTAACTATGATATTTTATTGAAACAAAAGCATTGTAGTTGGTCAAAAAATTGACTTTGTACACGTGTGTCGTATTTTATACATTCATAGAGTTTAATTTTTTTTTTTTTTTACTAACCATTTTATTTTGCAAATATCTAATGTAACAGATTGAAAATTGATGACCTATTTGTTATTTTTACTATCATCTTTATGAAACGCACACTGACAGTATAATTTTTGTTTCAGGATGAGGAACAAGTTCAAAGTGAGTACATTATTGATTATTTATAAACTGACCGAGGTGCATTATCAATGATACGCAGGACCAAAAAGTATTCGAGGAAAAACTAACGAGGCAACATTTTTGTTCCAATCCAGTGCTCCGGAGGGCCTTCTCCATGTTCGACTCGACAAAGTCAGGCAAAATCGAGATAGACAAGGTCCGCACGATCCTGAACACGCTGGGACACACCTTCGACGACCACGAGCTTGACGTCATGCTCAAAGCCGAGGACGTTGACGGTAAGACTTTGGACATCCGATCGAAAAATCGCTCTTTCATACTTTTCTATTACTCAAGGGACCACTCCATTCGGAGTCCAAAGACGCGATCTCTCTCTTCTAACGAATTTTCAAAGCAAATAAAAGCGCCGAGTCTTGTTTCTTATTTTTCGCCGGGGATTCGAGGCACGTGTGTACACTCTCTGATCCAGCTCGAGTTTTGTATCGACGACGACGACCACTTGAGCTCCTTTCGACGGACGTGGGTGGAGTTTTCTCAAGAGGGTGTGCAAGAGACTCGGAAAGATTGAGCTGAAAGTGGGTTAATGAATTTCCGAAAAGCTCCCGGAGAGTCATGCCGAGAGGGGGATTATTAATGAAACTTTCGTCAGATTCGAAAACGGACGCGTTTGATCGCGCTCATTAGGAAGGATCTCGAGGGTTTCTCGTTACGGCAGTTTTCCTCTTCGTGCGCGGGGATCAAGAGAGCGTTAAAAGTATTTAAATGAATTCTCGGTTGCACGGGTTCGTCAAATATCTCACCCTTCGTTTGCTCGGAAAACGGCGCCAACCGAAATAACGAACGTTGTTGCATGGAACCACGAACTCTCCCGTGTCTTTTTTTGCATCACGTACATTTACGTGCATGGATCGTATCACAAAGGCCACGATATTTCGTGACCCGGACACTTACGACAAAGCATTTTTCTTCTCTTCTGTCAACACCTTTTTTCCCGAATACACGTGCATGTTTAGAGACAATATAAAGCTTTGTAATTGTTTTTTAAAGCTTTAAAAAAAAAAAAAAAAAAAAAAAAAGGAAACCTTTAAATTAGAATGGGTTTTCTTGAAGTGTTGACAGAGCTGACCTTACACAAATTACAAACACATTTGTGTGAAGTGAAGGAACGTTGATTCTTTTCCGAAAGTAATGTAAAGTGATGTCTATAACGTAACACATTATTTACGATGACAAGTGTTCCATTTCCCAATTTCCGTCATGACTCAAGAATAATGACACTTCGACAAGTCATTACTCAAGAGTCATGACAGCATGACAAGTTATGCCAAGACACTTGAGGTAATAATTAACATCATTTATGCGCACACTTTTTGAAAACAGCAATGATAAGGTTAGTGCACGTGACAGTATCGGCTTTCAAAAACTACGCTCATAATATAGAATCCGAGTCACGCTTGTCATAGTCTTTTTCGTATTTTCAGAACTGAGGATTAACTTGCACAGCATCCATGCGTTTGAGATAAAAAGAATCTGTGTTTCATACCTAGTGGTCCAAATTTTGACGCGTAGATCATATTTTCCATTAGCGAGACGTGGTCTATTTTTGCACACAAACGCATAAACGAGAAAAGTTCGCTTCACGCGTCCATGCGTCGTCGCGAAAATACACCTCCTCCTCGAGAAGCAGCCCAGTGCTTACGTAATCGTTCACAGTAACGAAGAAGCGAAACGGATCCTTTTTGTTGTTGCGCGCGATAATTAGGCTAAAAGTGTCGCAAAACACCAGAGCCCACGTGGAATTCCGCCGATCACGATATATTTTTGTTCTTTCGGCTTTGGGTTTATTTTTCGAGCGGGCCCTCGGCGTGCGAGCGCGTGAGTCACTAATGAGCGTCCGGAAATATTTGAAGTGGAAAATAAAACAAACAAGTGGGACGCCGCTTTGTGCTTTTTAACGATGGGAGCTTCTATTTTCGGAGGTACTCGAGAATCCAATGGAAGCGTGAAGTTGGACAGAAAGCTGTTTTCCACTCTGTCTATTATGAACCCTTTCGCGTGGCATTCCTCGGAGACAACGGTCGCGCTCTTTTGTCCGGACACAGTGTCAACAATAGATGAGCCTCGGGTGTTTCAATATCCTGGACGCTCTCGGCGCTCGTTCCATTTTCTGCTATGACCTGTCAATTATGCCTTGATATGCTGTCCCTCCTGTTGCATTTATATCACCCTCTTCCATCAATATGTTGGTAGAAAAATAAAAAATTTAATAAATGTATGGATGATCAATAACGCAGGATCGGGCCATCTGAACTTCGACTCGTTCTACCGAGTGGCCTGCCATTTCCAAGAGGAGGACGACGAGGCGCTGCAAAAGGAGCTGAAGGAGGCCTTCCGCCTTTACGACAAGGAGGAAAAGGGCTACATTCCGACGAGCTCGCTGCGAGAGATCCTCGCCGCCCTCGACGATCAGATAACACCCGATCAGATGGACGGTATGATCGCGGAAATCGACACCGATGGCTCCGGCACCGTCGACTTTGATGGTGATTTGGCTCTATATTTCATTTTCCCTCACCACTCTATCTCTGTCCGAAGTTTTGATTGAATTTGCTGCTGTTCACGCTCCGATGCTATCGTGACCACGAGGTCACTTAGATATTACTTCGGAAATTAGCATTCCGCTTGTGAACAGTTGGACAGCTTTTTACATTGTGCTGTTCTTGTATTAATTTTAATTTTTAAAAAGTAACCCACACCAATTTAGTTAAATTGATTTTCTTAAAAGCAAATACTCTCGAGGGGGAAAAAGTGCCGATATGTTTTTTATAGTAGAATAGAAGGACAGTGTTTAACTAACCATTTCAAGATTGGAAATACTTTTTTTTAGAACACGCGTGCGCTTGTGGCGTATATTATTAACGCACACACGTGAAATTAATGGAGCGCCAAAAAGCTCTTGACTCGCACTAGGCAGCGTTCGAGCAGGTGGCACGGAAAAAATGAAAAAATAGGGGCACGAGTGACTTGCTGATTTTTTTTTTTTTTCACTCCTTCCACCCGACAAAAGAGCCTCGACCGCGTCGTGGGATTCGTTGGGGAACTTTTTTTTTTTTTTTTTTTCTTCTAATTAAGAAAAGCCACTCGTGTCGCCCTCTTTGCTCTTTTTTCCTCTTTTTCACTCGTGACTAAATGGGACGCACATATTATAAACGTGAGGCTAGGTGTACGTATAAAAACGAGGGGGAAAAAAATGCCTGCGGAGTCAAGGAAAGGATAAATTCGCGCATTGAATGTGCTCGGTGGATCCGATATTTTAATTATAAATCCAGCCTCCGAGCATCTCGAGCCACGCGAAGTCTCAATAGCATTCGGAAAGTGAGCACGAGGAGAAAGAAAACTGGAATAGTAGTCAAGGTAGTCACTCGGCCCATTTTTTTGTTTGGATCTTGGTGCTGCGGAGTAGGTAGTTAGATAAAAAAAAAAGTATATCTGCCATGCACCGAGGCGAGATGGGCCGAGTCTGGGCCCTCGAGGAAGATAGATCTCGTTAGACCTGTGACTTAAGATATCAATAACAAATTTTTTTTTTTTTTTTCGAGAGTAATTTTACTAATCAACACGCTATTAATGTATGTCACACTTTCATCAAGTATATATATTTGGTATACATAGTTTTTTAAAGCTATCAAATAATGATGAATTATTTTTGTTTTCAGAATTCATGGAGATGATGACTGGTGATTGAGGATATGGCGATGATTATGGTTATGATATATATATTCAACACATTGTTTATATGCTACGTGTACATTATTAATATATCTACATCTTAATGTTAATTTATTTGTTGATAAAGAGCGAATGATTTTTATTTAATAAATAATATACTATTTTTTCATCAGATTATTAATTGCGTATCATTTTACACTTTTGGAAAGTGATGACTTGTGATCACATGATTTTTTATGTAAATTGTTTACTTTATGATTTTATGAAACAAGTTCAATTTGAATTCACAGATGTATTACTATAGTTGATAATAAATATCGACACATTTTTTTATATTTTAAAGTTAACACACTTACTAACTTGTGAAAAATGGACCTAGTTGGACTTTAAAATTTATAACTTCTCATTTTTTATCATGTACTTATCCTTGGGCAGTAATCTTGGAATCGCATTAAACATCGAGCAAGCAATTTTTTTACATACTTCCGTATAATAAGTTTGTTTTTGAACGAGCAAAAATCCCACGCCTTAACTCTTGTTTTAAAACTTCCATGTAACAACAAGTTTTTCCAGCGTCCGCACTCATGTACTATACGTTCTCCTTTCCAAAAAATCCTTCCCAGTATTTAATCATTCCAGCATCAATACACGAAAGGATTCGAGATTTCAAGTATTTTTTCCGTTAATGATGACGAGATTAAAAGTTTTTAATTCATAATGTACAGAGGAAACAGCTTGTGCCAGACGAAATGAGAGTTTCGTAAAAATCTGATAAATATTTAAAGTTCAGAATTTCGTTTGATAAATGCTTCGCATTTACGTTAACTTTTAAATCTTTACTAACACAGTTCAAAGATATCTAGCTTCAAGGTATGGTTCAAACAAATTTTTAACCGTGAGTTCTAATTAAGGTGAGATGGAAGCCTCTACTAAAAAATTAGTTTACTTTGCTACTCTTACAGCATTTAGATTCCACGAACAATAAGTTGGGAATATATGGTTATCATACGCTGATGTGCGAAATTTTTACATTCAATAAAACTTATTTGTATCCACTGTATTAAATATCATTAGAACTTTAATTTCAAAAACCTAAGGAGGTCAACATAATTTTGAAATGAAGAAATAAAAAAATCATTGCAAACTTTACCTAGTTAATTACTGTGAATTACTTTGATTCAACAAATATGTTTGGTAAACAGTCAAAATAATAATTCGAGACGTAATTTTGCTACATCATCACCGAATCATACTTTAAGTACATCAGCTCGAAAGTAAAAACAACAGAAGAGTCCAGTTTTGCACACCAGTAGAAAGTAAGATATTCATAGTTTTTGCACTATCTCTACCTGATTGGCCATAGATCCTTCATTTAGGTATTCGTACCGAGCAACTTGAAGAAACGACATTGGACAAACAATAGCCTACATTTCGCAACAAGATACATCCACAGATCCATAGCCAAGACCACGGCGCTTTAAATATTCATCGAGCTTCGGCACAATGTAACTGCTGCTGCCAGCTGCTGCATCTGTAACTCAATCGCGTACACGTTGAGAGGAACAATTGAATAGAGCTAGAATAAAATGGATGCTTCCAGACGAAGAGAAACAGCAGCAACGAAGGAAACTAGGAGTTCATTAAATTAATTGTCTATGCATCAGGGGCGTACTTATTTAATTAAGTCATTTTAGGAGAACTTGTCCGATAATTCTGACAATGTTATCGTTTTAAAGCATAAGAAATAACAACATTTTTACCATTTCAATTTACTTATTTTATTTTATTATTTTTTTAAGTAATGGACGAGCCTTGGGTAAGCACGTGTCCTACTTCTGGGATAAGGTATGGCGTATGATACGGCACTTGGGGTGATCATTAATTCTGATAAATGTTTTCTTGAAAATTTATAAATATTTTAATGGTTAGTGATCAGTGATCAATCATATCCTTAATAACGATTCCATCAAACACCTTAAAAATTAAATCGAGCAAACTCATCTCCTAAAATTTTTGGAGTCTTGCAAATGCATCAGAAGTCATTTAAAACCCACAGCACAACTTAAATTGAAAAACTTTGTTAGATGTAGAGTGCCCTTCAAAGACCTCAAACGACATACTTATAGAGTTCTCATGACTTTTGATGATCCTAAAAAAAATTATCAAAATGGCATAAGAAGTTTTAAAAAAGACTCGAAAATCCACAGCCCCTAGTAACCAATAAAAATCTTCAAATAAAATAAACAAACCGACAGTGCAAACAAGGTACAAAGATAAAAAGAAATTCCTTTCCCAACTCCTCAAGTCAGCTCTCTGTCTCCTCTTTTTGCTTATGCGCCAAAAGCCACGCGCGACGCCCACCCTAAATCAGCTGAGTTATAGCTACCCCTCAGCCCGTCCACGAAAACTTCCGGCTGCCCTCCCCCGCAAATAAAGTAGGTCCACCCGCCGTACATAACGTCTCGGCTCTGAAATAATAACCTCGGTGAAATCGTCGCGGACCAGTGCAAAGACGCGCGGCACGCAGGGGGGAGGTTCACCGAGTCGTCCTTACATTGTCCGATAGCTGCTGGCTGTTGCTCGAGATTAATCGACTCTCAGGTATACTCTGCATTGGAAATCTGCTGAGGCGAGCCCATGCTAGTTTACTAGCTCGCTGGCCAGGTTCACCTTTGCCATTGGATCGCGTAAAAGCTCGCGCCAACTCGAAAAGGAGCATTCTCGTGCACGAAAGCCGATCAATCACCGGGGGGTGGCAGGGAAAAAAAATCGATTTCGATACATCGAGACTCGTTCATTAACAACTGGTAGTTTTATTCGTTCTCCCTTATCTTCGTTTTCTGTATGCCATACATCTACTCCCATGGTCTTTTTCATCCCCGCCATTGGCTTTCAGTTATCGTAAATGACCGCACCAGCTGTGGTATCGATCATTCAACATGTACGGTTGGACTGCTAACTTATCTCGAAATGACATCAACTGTGGACTTTAAGATTTTACGAGTGTTGGGTCTATTGATCGTTGCAGCTGGGTAATGGTTGCGTGCAGGGTCGCAATACTTGTGATTATGTGCTTTTTGAATTACAGGTGGCTGGAAAATTTATGTGTGCTTGTTGAGGTATTCCAAAACAATATTTCTAGAAATAAAGGGGTAGAATAGTTGGCTGGGACTTGGTCATTTTGATGGAAAGAGAAATACTGGTAAAATAATATTTTGCTAGGGTTTTTGGAGATGATTTATAGTATCTGGTCACAAATAAACGTCCTCTAGAACCATTTTATGGACCCGTACAGGCAAAATATATCACGTTTTCTAACAAACTAATAAACTTTAGTTTTTTAACACTAGAAATGAAACATTTAATGTCTTCAAATTTTATGACGAGTGTAACATAACACACTCTAGGTTCTAGTTGATAAGTATTCGATGGATATTGATGTCGTATGAGCTTATAACCGAGTCACAGTGAAGTTAAGTCAAGTTAAGTTTGCTTCATTTCTATCATCAAAAGTTGCAGATTTCCCTGAAAATAACAATTGTAGAACCAGTACATAACATGTATTTCATTTTTTTCCTAAGGAACCAAAAATCATCTCCTAAAGTCTCGTTTGTCCACCAAATATTCCCTTCACCAGTATCGTAATTAAATACACCCCATAAAATCACAAAAATGCCGAACAAATGTTCCCATCACCCAGAAATTGACCCCTCAAGCATCACTAAACTGCATCTATTCTCATTGTATCCAACCTGCAAACGCCATCGATCCCTTGCTCCAATTCTCCCATCCTTGGTGTGCAATGAACAACAATAACTACTTTGCCACTCAGCAGCCATGTACACTCGAGCGTCTCTCAAGACGATGCACGGTATCATTCCAAACGACTGTCAACGCCAGGGGCACTGAAATTTCTTGGAGGGGGGGGGGGGGCACAAGCCGACAAAGATCGTTGTAAGTACATTCAAGCCGAATCAGCGGAATCGTAAAATGTGTACCCTGTAACGCGCCCTGGCAGAATCGCAGTGGCATCCATACATGCATGCACACGACTTGCGGTCGCCGCTTTAATCCGAGCCTCCTCGGGGCTGCTTTATCTCTCGGAGACCCAGTTGCGCAATAGGGTGCTACGTGCACGTACCTGTGTGGCCTATCTGAAACGATCCAAGTCTCTTTGCTCTGTGTGTGCGAGCTATAGACCACCCGCTCTACTCCATATATACCTGCACAATGTATGTATAGTGGTGGTGACTTAGATTACTGCGCCCCATTATAACTTGCACTTCGGCTCTCGTGGGCTTGGAATTGTGGTTGGTGTCTTGTTGCTCGAGGATTAAGTTTACGCGCTCTAGGGAGAATGACTATTCGAGTACTTGGTCGTTCTTGGATTGATTTTTTTTTCACTCGCTTTAATAGTAGCTAGTAATATGCATATTAAATCATATTAAAAAAAGAAAATGTTGCACTTAAGTCATAGTTAATTCCGGACGTGCACGGATTCATCAACTATCATTTCTAAGCTTAACTATTTTATTCTTGAAACGATTGAAAAATTAGGGCGTGTCTGCAAGCGCTTAAAATGTATGATAGAATGCTTCATGCATTAAAGTTACTCGTTTCGATATATTCGATTCAGTAATTGAGCGTATGGATTAATTTTGTTGCCCGTGAACCATTGGCACACATTTCATAGAAGTTTAAAAATCCAAGCAACTTAATTTGATTCACAGTACAAACTCACGCATCACCCTGAAAAACTCTCTTTACCCTAATTAAAAAACCATAATTTTTTCATTTCAAACGAAAAACCCTCGTAATCTCAAAACTCATCGCACACTTGAGTGAGTGGCCAAACGAGAGCACTGTAACCGCATTTAGATCTGACTGACTTTTCCTACCCCGGAGTTTTTAACCTCACCGAGTTTAGCGAAGCCAAATAGCTCACATACGCATCCGAAACTCCACTTCTGCACGACCATGATAAAATCCTCTTCAGCCAACTTCCTTGGGCGTATATCCTCTTATTCTCTACTCCAATAATTCTCAGCCACGCGTATCCGATGGGAAAGTGGGTCGTTTCATCGTTTTAAAAATGCAGCTCCCTTTCCTCAGGGATTAGTCAAGTGTGCGTGTTCAGGAGATCTCGCGTGCAAAACGGTGCCGTACCTGCAACGAAG